ACATACATGTACCTGTACTTACGGTATTGCAGGAAATTTTGAAGGGAGCTGAATTTAGCGTTTAGAAATACCATTTGCCGAAATGAAATTATTTAACATTTTGAGCCATTATGTGCATGCACACAATTTTGCTAAAATGAAACTTGCCAATCACCATAGATACAATTTAGTATTTTGCTAAAATTTACAGTTCCTATTGTAAGGTGACCTTTTACATGTATATAATTAACCACAATGTATAAAATTGCTAAATAGCCCTTTGTTATGCTAAGGCCATAAAACCACACTACCACAATCACAATTTGCTATTTCTATAGATTTATTTATCTGTTAGTTCTGCTGCTTATGATCACAGCATTTTAGTGTAGTAAAGGCCACCATACACCATGAAACTTGTTATACAGGAGTCAAGGGAGCTTGAAACATGTTTCATGAAGTTGAAAATTTTCAACTTTATGAAACATGTTTCAAGCTCCATTGACTCCTGTATAAAAGATGTTTCATGAAACAAAGTTTCATGAAACAAGTTTCATGGTGTATGGTGGCCTTAAAGTATATGCATACACTGTATTTTATGTGAAAAACATTGCCTTTATACTTAGCATCTAAAATTATCTTTAATCTGTGCAATTCCTATATTTTATATTATATAGCAGAAGTTTTTGGAGGGGATTAAATTTGGCAAATTTGGCATTTTGATAGCCATTCACCGAAATAAAAATCTCCCATTTTGAGCCATTATACGCATGCTCAATGGTACGTGGCTACAAATTCGCCAAATTAAAATCTGCCAATCACCAAAGTTTAGCAATTCGCCAAATTTTAGCCCCTCCAAATTTTCCCACTATATGGTAATCATTTTATTTGATGATTTATTTCCCTGTAGGACTCTATCTAGGCTCCCTGTATCAAGAGATGTAAAGACTGAGATAGCTTACAACCAGAGGGTACTATAGCAAGTAGGTGTGGCCCCAGGTGACAGTGTATTACTACTGAATGGACTCATACTTCAAGAAGACGACATGAACATCTTTAGGTGGGTGTGGCTTTGTATTCATAGCAACCACTAACCACACCTTTTTATAGTATTTTAGATTATCTTAAGAGAGAGTCAAGACTGTGTCTGGGCTTGAGGGGCTGGGAATTCCGTCGAAATATTTTGTTCAGATGGTGTCGTTAGCAGTCCATCCACAGCACAGCACCTTTGCTGTTGATATGAGGAATGAGTCAGTATTGGTAAGTATGACATCATGTGACATTATTAATGGGAAAGTGATAGTTTTTAAATTTACTCAAAAATCAGGCCAAATACCTTGATTGATGTGATGTTATTTGTGATTATTGTGTGTTTATGTTGTTTAGTTCATTAATAATATTGAGGAAGATAAAAGATATTTAAGGTGGCCATCATCAGTCACTGAGGTATAGTACAATATTCATGTACATGTAAATATACTGTATGTGAATTGTGTCTACATGTACATATAAGTTAAGATTAACCCTCTCTCTCTCTCTCTCTCTTTCTCTTTCTCCATTAGTTCTTGCGTCCAGCATTTCCGGGTACATTACGTCAGATCAGAAAGAATGCTTTTACAATTGTAAGTAATGTACATGTACATGTACTTATACATGTAATTGTTACTGTAATTTTATTATACATGTACATGTACATGTAATTGTTATGAACAGAAGTTAGGGTAGTTTTATTATCAATCATACGTGTATATAAAGGCGAGTAACACTGTAATACAACATACTGTTACAACCAGAAGTCCCTGTAATGACGTCATGTTATGTACACTGTACCTGATGACACGTGTAGTTACAAGAGATGGAATATGTTTGTTTCTTATGTTAATTTGTACTTTAAAGGAGCACAGACACACATTAACTTTTTCTTGATAAATAATCAAGATACATGTGTAATTGATGTATTTACACCTACATGTACACCAGAAGTTTTCCAGAGATTTATGTATGTAACCATTGAAAATGGTGCACCACATTTGAAGAGGAAGCCATTCATACCTTAATCATAAAGGGTCTCTAAACTCCTTGCTCAGATCAAGACCATATTTCTCCTTTGCCAAAAGCTTTGCTAATGCTATGTTGTCTGGCATAAACTCATGCAGGTCCACAAACTGATTGAGGTTAATCTTCTCGATTACTTTTCCTGGGACTGGAGGGAGAGAGGGTGACACGATCACGCCAGAATGTGTGGAATCAGAGTGAGATGCTGTTTCCGTTACTTATATAATGGGAGTGGCACCTGAGAGAGGGAGAGCAGTCAGCCATAGACTGGTCCTTCTCTCATGAGATTGCTACTCTACTGATGTGAGTGTGCCTCCAATATGTTGCTCTTTCTTGCTACAATGTAAATCTTTTTTTTAATATTTAAAAAAATTTGTTTAATGATCTAAGACAACTTCAAATGCTAGTCATAGTGATTCAGGTTTAGCTTTGTTGTATTCCAGCATATAAAGGACTTGGTGCTGCGTGGCCATGAGACAATAGTAAGGTAAGGTATTAGTCTTTGTAACTAAGGAAACACTTATGACTGAAGATCCAGAATCCTCTCTACAGCATCTTCTAATGTTTGTTACCATGTATATCCTTTTTAGCATGTCTTCTGAGGAGAAGGAGGTGTTGATGGAGATGAGGATACTGATCCAGTAATGAATAGTAGCTCTTACTGCATCTTTTCAACGTTTTTACTGCAGCATCTATAGCCTGCTTCTGCTCTGTTTTAATTTTGTCTCTATATTGCTCAGGATAGTGGCAGCAAGCAAGAGCCTTTATGTAATCCATTGTATTGGTCCCTTCCTATACCTCGATACCTTGCAGCTACAGAAATACTACACTAGGATCCATATGATGATGCCATACCCGGGACAATGAGAATTTC